ACAGTTTCTGAGATATTTGCAGAAATGTAGAAAATAGCATAGGTTTTTCGGCAATATCTCAGAAACGGTTAGATTTTGCGTGTGAGCCGTTTTTTTGTATTTTTTTACGTTTTTGACGATTTTATTTTGAAAAACGGTCACGATAGGTTGCAAAAGTTCAATATCAGAAATTAACATACCAGAACATTTTCATCCTTTTTAGTGAATTTTGACAGAAAAACAAACTTTCCCTTTACGAGAAAAATTTCCGGCTCAATTGAGCCAGCGAGAGAAAAAGAAACTTTCACCCTCTTTCAAATAGTTTAGAATCGAATCTCGATGGCCAATTACTGTTTCCTCAAAGTCCAAGTCGTCCCGGACGCAAAACGAGCACGTGAAGTTTTCCTATTATAAGTTCCCCCGACTAAGTCCGGGGGATGTTTATCTAAGGGGGGAGGGTCTGAAATGAAACGCAAACAACCGACTGGATCGACCCAACAAGGAAAAAACTAATTTTTTTAATCCTACATGAACATCGAAGGGCCTCCTACGAGTGGAAAATGTTTGAACAAGGGTTGTTTTTAAAATTTTATCAATCCTTTTTGTTAATATTTTTATACAGCCACGTTTGTTGATGTCTTGAAAAGGTCCTTTTCCACTGTGTAAACAGTCGATAACTCACCCCCTTTTTTCCTAAATGCTAGACGGTCCTTTTTCACCACTTTTTTCACCTGAAGAGAGGGGTGAGACTTCCAAATCTAGTTTACCGGGGGGGCGCACTTTAACACGTGTACTTTTATCGAATTTTCCCAAGGCACGTTTTCTCACCCCCTACCATAATTTCTTTATTTATTTTACTCCTTTTTTTCCTAGGATAGGGTGGAAACGGCATTTTCACCCAGGGTGGGAAAACAGACTTTAACTGACCCACCCCCCTCGGGTCTAGATTCTCCCTAATTGACCCAATTTAGCATTCAGGGTCCGCACCCTTGTCTTACAAATATTTACAATGCAAACAACCCCGGCGGTTCGATTATGCACGCTGAGCCGGATCGCCGGCCACCCCATCATCATCAGGCAGAATAGGGAGGAAAAAACCGCCCAGATTAATCTAACGGATATTTATGATAATCCCACCACCCCTAACTAACACCCCCGAGGAAACAGTTGGGTAGTACAAGGCTAATAGCACCCATTAATTAGCCGGCAAACGGGTTGATTCTGACCGTTTATCTCGGCATATATCAAACATGTAAAATTTAGCAAGAGGGAAATTAAATTCTCTTGCTATTGTAGAATGATATTGTCTACATTTCTGAAAATATCTCGGAAACAGTTAGGTATTTTGAAAAGCGTGAGACTCAAAGTTGTAGAAAACGGAATTTCCTTTAAAATCCATTCTCCCGAAAATGAAAAGAGAAAAAACCCGTTTTTCTTAAATTTTTGTAAATATCTCAAAAACTGTGAAGTATTTTAAAAAACGTGTATCGACAAAGTTGAATAGGATTGAATTTCCTCTAAAACAAGCTATTTTTTACATAAAAAGAGTAAAATTTAAAAAATTTTAATCAAAAAGGCGTCGCTTAATCCATTAATGAATTGACAAACTGGTCGTTTTATGACCGTTTATCTTAACATGTATCAAAGTTACAAAATTTTACTGGGAATATATTTTAAACAAAATGTAGTTCTCTACAACTTTGGCTCTGTAACATTTTTGGAAATGTGAACGATTTCAGTAATATTAGTAAAAATGTAACATTAAAGAAAAATCCCGTTTTTTTTTTTAATTTTTGTAAATATATCAAAAACTGTGAAGTCTTTAAAAAAACGTGGTATCGACAAAGTTGAATAGGATTGAATTTCCTCTAAAACAAGCTATTTTTTTAAACAAAAAGAGTAAAATTTAAATTTTTTAATCAAAAAGGCGTCGCTTAATCCATTATTGAATTGACAAACTGGTCGTTTTATGACCGTTATTCTCAGAATGTGTCAAACTTACAAAATTTTACTGTGAATATATTTTCAACAAAATCAAATTTTCTACAACTTTGACTGAAAATTTTTGGAAAAGTGAACAATTTTAGTGATATTTCTGAAAATGTAGCATTAAAGAAAAAACACGTTTTCTTTACATTTTTGTAAATATCGCAAAAACTATGATGTATTTTTAAAAACCTGGTAATGCCGGAATTTAATATGATTTAATTTCTTTTAAAATAAGCTACTTTTTAAAAAAGAGCAAAATTTAAGTTTTTTTTAAATCAAAAAGGCTTTGTTTAATTCACTAATTAATTAATAATGATTAATTGTAAACAAAAATCAAATTTTCTACTACTTTGAATCTGTAATATTTTTGTAAAAAGTGAACAATTTCCATGATATTAGTGAAAATGTAGCATTAAAAAAAAGTCCCTATATTTTTGTAAATATCTCAAAAAATTGAAGTATTTTTAAAAACGTGGTAGAAATAAATTTGAAAAGGAGTGAATTTCCTTGAAAATATCCATTCGGAATGAAAACGTCATCAGTCGAAACTTTTTGTAAATATTTCAGAAACTATTAACCGTTTTTATTGTCTATGAAAAAGTCGTAGAGAATTTCTTTCATTTAAAAGAACTGTGTGGTGATAAGTGACCGTTAGTCGATGATTATTGGGAAATCGTGAGATGCGGTCTGGTGTGATGTAGGTTTCAGAAAAACATTTTCTTTATCGTGCCAACGTTTCGATCTTTATTGAGATCATCTTCAGGGCTCAAAGTGGGCACTCCCAACACGACACGCAAGAATGGTACACTTAAACAGAAAACAAACACTTTGAGCCCTGAAGATGATCTCAATAAAGATCGAAACGTTGGCACGATAAAGAAAATGTTTTTCTGAAACCTACATCACACCAGACCGCATCTCACGATTTCCGAATAATCATTTAAAAGAACATTAATTTTAAATTGTTAAGATGAAATTTTCCAGTGGTTTTCTTATCCTGGATTGGAAATCGTGTAACCCATTAATAGAGAAACTAGACGTTTTATGGCTGTTTATCTCATCATGGATCGAAAGGGTTTTGTAAAATCTAATTTTCTACAACTTTTACTTTGTAACATTTTTTGGAAAGTGAACAGTTTCTGTGATATTTAGAAAAAAAAGTTCAATTTTTCCAAATTGCTTTTTTTAAAAAGACGCGACGGAGTCAGTTTTATAGCATCGGATTCCCTTTAAAACGAATCCGTCCGATAAATGGCCCAGGCAAGATTCCACTCAATGGTTTTCCGATGAGAACGGACTGGGGTGGTTTTATTTACTTTAAGACCAGCCCGCCTGTCAACCTTTAATTAAAAAAGGGTCACTTTTATTAAAGGGGGGGGGGCAAGATTGTACGAGAAAGGCACAATTTGAATCCAGTTCCATTTGAACACCTTAATAGAGCTTCCAGTCTGGAAAAACATCCATAATATAAAAGGTAGAAATGGAATAATGAAAGAGGAGAGAAAGTGAGAAAAATTTGTGTGTTGCCGTTTCGACATCGATCTCCATTCACCTTCATTCGTATTTTTATTTTTTTAAATTTCTATTTATTTATTTTCTGCTTTAAAAGTAAGCAAACCAGGAGTCTATTCTGGCCTTAAAAAGACGGCGCTGAAGGCCTACAGTTCGGCAATACACGCCTTGCCGGTTTAGCCTACTCCGTCGGAACATGGGGGCGATTTCTTTTCATGACAATAGAATTTATTTACTAACTTTTCAACTTTGTTAAATGAAACGCTTTTTTACTTTTTTTCAAATTGTTCGAGGGGAGAAAAATTGTTCGAGTTAAATAAGCCTTGAAGTTGGGGAAAGAAAGTCCTCCTATTTTCCCCCACCTGGTACGAATTCGGCCTAATTTGATTTTTTTAATTTAATTAAGACTAGTTGAAGTCGACAGGAGGGTGATTATTTATAAAAGTAAAAGCCTTTATCCTCCACAGAAGAAAATAAAATGCCTTTCTCAAGCGGGGAAGAAAAGGAAAATACGTAATGTAGAAAACGTACAAACTAGCATTTTTTTTAAACAAAAATTAAAGCTTAAAATTTTAAAAGAAATTCATTAATACAATTGTTTGTTAGGTTTGTTTTCAATGGATCAACTGTCTTATGATTTATGAGTGTAACGTTTGACACACTATCATAAACTCCTTTCAGATGATTTTTTTTTTAAATCAAGAACAACGTTTATATTAATCACTTTTGGAGATTCGCCCGATGAATTATCAATTTCAGTATCGGTTTTTTTAAAATTCTTTTCTGCGAAATTCAGATATTTTATTTCGCCCGTGGAGTTTTTATTTACCTTCTATCTTAGGTTAGCTATATCCCTTGTGAATGCTATAAAGCTCTGATTCTAAACATTTACTCATAAACTAATCTATCCTATTGCCAACCGAAGTTTTTTTATCCTTTTCTTATTTTGGAAGGCCAAATGTATGCAAAAATCCCATTTTAAATTATAAAATTTATTCCTTTTCTTTAATTAGAATTTCGAATTTGTGTTCCATAATTTAAACTTTTCCCATAGGCTTGTATATAATAATAATGATGATAATGAAGTCAGCTTCGGCCTGGAGGGTAACGAACGTGCGGACGAGGCGGCGAAAGCGGGACGTCCCACCCTCCGGATCGGACCGTCGCGATCAGGCCCTCTGACGCTAAGCACGCGGTGAAAACATGATAAAAAAAAGATGGCAGCGTCATTGGGCGGGATCGTCGGTGAGGGAGTTGCGAGTCAAGAGTGCGACCGGTAGATGGCCCTCAGAGAACCTGAGCAGTCAAGAGAACCTGAGGGATCGACCTCACCCTACTGAGGATGGGCCAGACGCGGTTGACACACGGGCACCTGCTCTTGGGCCAAATCCCGCGCAGGTGCCCCTTATGCAGAGAAAGGTTCCTCGATGTCCCACATAATAGAGGCGCATCATGCCTTGGCTCCATACAGAGAGCGTGTAGGCATGCCGCCGGATTTAAGAATGGTAGAGAGTTTCAGGGTCCCCTGTTCATCCTTTTGGGGGAATTGGGCCGTAAACATGGCAATGTCTATGTTGACGTTGTTATTAGATCAGGAAGGTGAAGAATTTGTGCGTACTTATTCCAATCTATCATACGGGTATTCCATTTGAGACATAATTCCAAATTCCATTTTACCAATATGGGACTAATTTCATGGGGAGGTGATCACTTTGGACATCCGTTTGTAGGACGTTCCATTCAAAATTGTTCGCTAGGGACGGAGAATCAATCGTCAGATCTATGGCACTAACTGACCCTGAGTATTGTGTCGGATCTTGCCGAGTACGCATGCTGAATTTTAGCTCTTCATTAGACTTGATTTTTAAGCGGTTTGAAGGATTGTTTTCAACTTGTGCGCGGAAACTGTTCGTCATTTATCCTTCTTCAAGACTGTGCATTGCGCAACAAGAACGTTTCAGGTACGACCCTCTTATATTTGTATTTGTTTTTTGAATTCTTGAATCTTTTTATTCGGTTTGTTTTTAACGACAAATCTCCTAGCAACTGAGTGGAGAGGGAATTTTTCCAATTTTTCCTCAGCTGGTTGTTTTTAGTTACCGTACATTAAGTGAAATTTTTCCTTTTTCCCTTTCAGCTGATTTTTTGTTTATCTCTGAAACGGGAAAAATCCCATTTTCCCCAATTTCCCTTTTTCCCTTTTCCCTCTACCAGCTGGTATTACATCAGTATATAATTTGTTTTTCCTCTAAATTATTAATTTTAAATAATACTTATATTATTTAATAAATGAACCATGGCCCCACCTGAAAAAACTCGCCCACCTTGGAATGGTAGTACAACAGGAAATATTAGTTTGAATACCGCGGCCATTCCAAAGGATAATAATAAGCAAGCCATTAAAACAAAAACTGTTCCAAAAGATACGTCTTTATCGGATGCATCTATCTCGAGCGATACAGACCATAATACCCAGATTAAAAGAAAGAAAATAGATCCCATCCAAGGAAATGTCCACCTTTCTGGAAAATTAGAAACAAATAAAAAAAACGGCTAATCAAATTAGAGAGCAAATTGCCCAATATTTGATTGAGCCAGCGAACAAATTCCCCTAAACCGTCTGCTGCATACATTATACAGTTAACCATAAGCATTCTGCATGATCTAACAATAGAAAACACCTTCCTGAAAGGGAAAGGAGATAACACAAAAATGGACACGAACAATTTGGTCGAAGCGCTCACCATAATACACCAGCAATCAAAAACTTAACAGATAACATCAAGCAGCCACAGCCAACAGGAAACCAAAAGTCTAACTCTCCCCCGGAAATTGCCAATAACACCGAAAAACAACCGTTCCCTTGGATTAATGTCCATAATAAAAATGGTGTTAGTAGCTCAGATACCAGCAAAAAATATGCAGAAACGTCAAGAGATACATGGTCGACGGTAGTTACCCGTCTACTCTTCAGACGAAAGTCAACAGAACTGAAGTAAGAGACAAACCAATTCTTATGAAACAAGCTCAAGAAGCTGGCGAAACTCAGATGAAGATGGTTTTCATCGATTCGTAGGAAAAAATAGATCCGCATGAGCTTCTCAAGAAAGCTAAACAAATCATTAACCCTAGGCTTACCCGTGTGCGTATTGATGATATTAGAGTAACGGCGAAAGGAGGCCGAGCAGTTAAAGTCGAAACAAGCAAAGCCATTTTGGAAACGAGGCACTTAGCCAAGCTGGCCTTAGCGTCCGAACAGCTGGGAAAAGAAACCCAAGAATACTGCTGTTGCGGGTGCCCAAAGAAAACAAGCCGGTGGACCTTACGGTGTAGCTTTCTGCAAATAATAACATAGACGGGGCTTGGGAAAAATCGAATATCCGGCCGCTCTTCACCCTAAGATGTGGTGCCGGTACTAGGGTCCCCATACGTATCGTGAGTAATAGAAGTGACCCTCATACGTGGAAAGCTGCAACATCTCGAGGGAAGGCTTATCTCGATTATCAGTCCTGCACTGTGAAGGACTATACTGATGTCACTCGCTGCTACAATTGTCAGCTGTACGGTCATGTAGCGACTGCATGTCCCAAAAAAGAACCGGTCTGCGGGGCTCTGGCCCCCATGATACACGGCAATGCAAACACAAAACCACCAGATGTGTCCATTGCTATCGGACAGGTAAGAATAGCAAGCATTTCGTAGGGTCCCAGCAATGCAAAGCCCATGCACGAACCATAGCTAGAGCCTGGTGTGCCACAGATCATGGGGAATCAGCGGGCACCAGTACTGTCCAAAACTGCCAAACTGTTCTGAACAAGCAGACCGAAAACCTTGGGGATATGGACACAGACACTGTAGAGGGCACTACGCTAGTAGTTGAACAATGATTGACTCACGCCGCGCAATACAAGAATTGAAACTTGCCCACATTAATTGTCATCATTCAGAAGTAGTCAGTAGCGAAGTTCGTGCCTTAGCCCACCAGCAGGGAGTTCATATTCTTGCCCAAGAGCCGTGGAGACGAGGACTTGATAAAGCTATGGGGTTGACAGCGAGAGTCGTCAGAAGTCGTGATCCGGTGCACCCGAGGGCAGTGGTGTACATCCTTGACAGAGAGATTAAGGCCATTTCCCTGGAGGAGAGCACTGATGATTTTGCCTGCTGTAAGAATTTGTACAAGAAATTGTAGTTGCCTCAGTCTATTGTGATCGTCCCCGGGACATACATGAAGACATTTCCCGTATTCGTTGCCTCATAGATAGGTTCAGAGGAAAAAACGTCATTGTGGGAGGTGACTTCAATGGCCACCATACGGCATGGGGAGACCCCTGTGTCTCGCGGACAGGCCATATATGAATTTGCTGAGGATGCGGGTCTTTTGATTCTAAATGCCGAAGACTCACCACCAATATACAGTGCGGGAGTCAGCATCTTTATATCGTCGTGTGGATAGGTTCGTGATAGACATTGCGGCGACGACCAGTGACCACGCGTGGATTCGGGTGGACCTAAACCCACTGGAGCCTCGCCGGCGTACATAAAAAAAGCGGCGCATAAGAGTCGACACCATTCAGCCAAATGACTTGGCAAAAATGGTAGAAGGCGACCTCCTACAGGAAGGGGCCAATCTTCTCTGGCCATCTTCAAACAATGAGGAAATAGACATTAAGGTGGCCATCCTAACTACAATCCTTGTTGAGAACGCTGATAGGGCTACCCGGCCTATGCCGTCACCAAGGACCAGCTTGGTAGACGTCAGCAGTGGCGGAATGTAAGGCCGTCGCGCAGCGCTGCAGACGCATCTTCCAACGCACCAGAAATCAGGTGGAAAGAGAGGATTCTCTAACGGCATATCGCGAAGCAAAAAAGGCATTTAAGAAAGAACTTCGCCGATCAAAGAGAAGGACATGGCGACGATTCCTGGTAGACCGAGACAAGGTCAATAAATGGGGCCTTCACTCTAAGGTGGCAAGAGGCAAAATATCCGGCAGACTGGCCTCAGAACCGTTCGAGCGTGGACGATTTGGACTGCGCGCGTCGGGATTGGCCCTACTTGAGGAAGCCTTCCCAATAGATGCCTTAACAAACGACGAGGAAATGCACCAGGTTTCTCGAACCAGGGCGAGTGGAATTGCGGCTGATGGATTAACTGACCCATGGACCGAAGAAGAAGTGATCAGTGCAATTAGCAAGTTGAGGACGGCCGGTGCGCCTGGCGTCGATCGCGTGGAGGCGGAGTGGTTAAGATGTGCACTAATGTGGTGACACAGTACGTCCACCAGCTGATGGTTGATTGCTTGAGAACAGGGTACTTTCCCTCGGCCTGGAAGGAGGCTCGAGTATGCGTTTTCCTGAAGACCGTCAGACCGCTGGAGCTACCAGGATCTTACCGGTTAATCTCCCTCCTGTCCGTCTTGGGGAAGGCGCTTGAACAACTTATGCTGGCGAGACTCCGCAAATTATGGCGGCATACCGGGCGTAGCACGACCCACGCCATCCGTACTATTTCAGATCGTGTGTCGAGGTTGACCTTCAAATATGTAGTCGGGATATTCTTTGACGTGCGGAAGGTCTTCGACCGCATGTGGTGGCCGGCGGTCTTGAACAGCCTTCGGGATTGATGCATCGATAATGACTTGTGTACCCTTGTGAACAGCTATTTGAGTGGTCGCCGCGTATCATTGCCAGAGTACGGAACGGACTGTACCAGGGTAGTCGAGATGGGAATACCGCAGGGTTCCGTGCTCGGTCCATTCTTATGGGCCGTCCTCTTTGACAAGGCCCTGAGAGAACTTGAGAGCGCGGGCCTTGGCTAGGTTACCTACGTGGACGACTTAGACGTAATTCTCCAGGCAGACACAAAGGCAGGTATTGAATCACAGGGTCGCACTGCAGTTGCTGTCCTGAGTACGTGGTGCAAATGAGTTAAACTTCACTTGGCCCCTGAAAAGACAGAGCTAATAATGCTGAAAGGGTCCCTCAATATGAGATAGCCACCCGTCATTAGAATTGATGGACAAACAATTAAAGCACCAAATGTCATCACCTACCTGGGAGTTAAGATGTCGGCCAGACTAAGATTCAGCCCCAACGCGCGCTATATGAGGGAAGAAATCCCAGCCCGTATTGCCGCCGTAAGAACCATGAGTGGCGACGCGTGGGGAATCTCCTATCAAAGTCGACAACTGTACTACACGGCACTGTGCCAGTCAGTCCTATTGTATGAGGTCCCAGCATGGCTGCGTGGATTAAGTGCAAGAGACTGGGCAATACTCCTAAGCGCGCAGAGATCAGCCTTATTAGCCGTAACGCAGGCCTACCGTACCACCTCGACTAACGCCCTACAGATTATATCGGGAAGGCCATCGCTTGACCTACAGGCTAAGGCTTTATGTGCAGAATGGGAGCTAGCAAATGATCATCCTCCTTGCATTCCAGTAGTGTCGAGTCGGGAGGCTGCTGCTTGGATTATAAATGAATGGCAGCAGCGTTGGAATTCGGCATTGGCTGGAAGGCATACGTACAAACAATTTCCGAGGATTGGATGAAGCATTTAAAAGTTGACCATTACACTTCACAACTCCTTACAGTACACGGTGATTTTGCGGCCAAATTAAATAGTTTCAGACTTAAGACCCTTCTGAGCCTGCGGACAGCTTGAAACAATTGACCACCTAATTTTTGAGTGCGATAGATACTTAGACCTACGGATTAAGTGGCAGTATGAGGTAACCGTAAACAGTGTAAATATAGACGGTTAAAATGTGGAAGGCCATCATGAAAAGGAATGGATGGCCTACATGAAGACCGCAAATGCGCATTGAGTCAAGATCGAAAAATTGGACATGAATATAAAGTAAGACTTATGATAAATAATAATAATAATAATAAGGCCATCCTCCTCCTGATATCCCGAGCGAGCCGCCTCCGCGAGGCCCATCCCGGATATCAACTAAGACCT